AAATGGAATTTATTTTAAAGCCCCTTTAAAAAGAACTAATGAACAGAGGAAATGTTAGTTTAGTTCCCGGAAAAATTGTTTATTCTGGGCCCTTTTTGAAAATTTGGGAAAATTTTGAACTTGTTTAAATTGGCCAAATTAACAATTTCCGATCACTTTAATTTGAGTTGAAACAGTGACTTGGTGATTTCTTGGCTCAAACGATGAATAGAAGTAAAACTTTTGAAAATAGCTAAGAAATTTGGTTGACTGGGAAAAATGTAATTGGGCCTAAATGGGAGTCAAAGTCAGCAAAAAGCCCCATTTGTAAATATCCCTACAATCAAAAAACGAGAGCATAAATTTTGTCAAAATTTTCCCCTCAAATTTTGTATTTTTGTTTTATTACCTCCAAAAAGATTCTCTACCCCTTTCATAAGAAAAAATAAAATTTTTTTTTTTTAAAATTTTGGGAAATGGGACCCACTTCAGATTTGGGCCTTGGACCCTGAAGGGGTTAAATGTAACCCTATTTTTCCCATTTGTGCCTAACTTCACATAGCTAATTTTCTTAGGGTGCCAATTTCCAGTAATGTATCCCACTCATGAGAAGGAATACTGTAATGTTTGTTTCGCCATTTTCCCCACTTCTGTACCCACTTTTAGGGCATGCCCTTTGAACAATGCAGGGGTCTATATGCTTAACTAGTTGTTCATCTATCCTGACTTTCTTTTTTTGACTTGTGCCACTCGGGGATTTATCCATTTAGTCCCCTGACTGTCATTTACCGCAGCTAATAAACCCTTTTTCAATAGTGTCAGTTTTGCAAAACAGAAAAATGCAGTCCCCTTTAGTTTTTCTTCCTTATGTCTTTCTCGGCACATTTTTAGGGTTTTTTAGTCTTTAAAATTCCTTTTTAATTTCGTAACTTGTTACTTTTGTTAGATACTTGTAGAGATGGTTTTGTGCGTGTGTATTATACCATTTTTTGTATTAAATTTATTAAACATATCGCAATGTGGAGGAGGGAAAGTGTTGAATAATGATGAAATATTTTTTTTTTTGGGGGTTTTTTTTTTTTTTTTGGGTCACCTGCCCCGGGGGAGACGGCCCCCCTTTTTTAAAAAAAAAAAAAAATCTGCAATGCAAATTTGGGGGGCCCTTTGCGATTGTTCCTTTTCAACATCCCGGGGAAGTTTTTGACAAGATTTTTATTTTTTAAGAGTTTTTGACATGGGGTTCAATCATCACTTCTTTAGAACAAGCACTTTAACAACCGGCTTCAGCAGGCAACAAAAAAACAACCAAATAATCAACAGAGAATTACACCAATAGAAGTACTGTATAGAGTTATGATTGAATTTTTAAAAACAGTTCATTGTAACATTAATAGTTTAATTGATGAAATTCCCTTTGGCTAGCCATAAGGTATACTTAAAATTCATGCAATTTTTTTAAAACTTCAAATTTAAATTCATTTTCAAAAAATTAAAATTAACTTTTTAATATGCAAGTGCTAAAATTAAATGTTCCCAAATACGTATTCACAGTAAATTTTTTTTTTTTATTTTCACACTGGCCCATTCCTACCAAGCAGGGTGGCCTGAAAAAGAAACTTCAAATTTATTCCTCCATACTGTCTTTCCGAAGGGTGCTTTACACTACAGTTTTAAACTGCAACATTAACACCCCCCCTTAGAGTGCAGGCACTGTACTTCCCCTCTCCCGGGCTCAAGCCAGCCCGCCGGGTTTCCCCGAATCCCCTTTTAAAGTTACTTTTTCCCCCCTCCAAAAGCACTCAAGTATAAAAAACCATTTGTCTCCATTACTCCTATCAAAACGCTCACCATACTGCTGGAAGTCCAAGCCCCTCGCACACAAAACCTCCCACCCCCTCCCCCCCAACCTTTTCCTTTTGGGCCCACCCCTCCGCCTTCCCTTTCCCCTACGATGATCACTCCCTGAAGTCATTCTGTTTCGCTCCCTTTCTCTCTAATGTCCGAAAACCCCCCTCAACAACTCTTCCCCCCCCTGGACAACAGTTTTGGTATCCCGCCTCCCCTAATTCCAAATACGAAATTTTCTGCATTATATTCACACCACACTTGCCCCAACATGAATCTCCCCTGCCCCCCAGCCTTCTCCCCGCTGCAACGTTTATCACCATGCTTCACACCATAAGAGCGTTTTTAAAACTATACTCTCATACATTCCCTCTTTGCCTCCAAGGACAAAATTTTTTGTCTCCACACTCCTAAGTGCACCATCACCCTTTTTCCCCCCACATTCTTGATTCGCCTCTCTTCATAACCCATCCCCCTGACACGTCCACTCCCAAATATTGAAAACATTTACCCCCCTCCTACCCCCCCCTCCCAAACTGATATCCAATCTTTCAAACACCTAATCTTTTTTTTTTCCTCATAACCTTACTCTTTCCTATTTCCTTTTTTTTTTTTTTGCATACCCTACCCAAATTTATACACCCTCTCTGCAACTTTCCCAAAAATCTCCCAAAGGCACGTGTCATCAGCAAAGAGCAAATGGCAACTCCCCCTTTGTTGATTCTTTATCTTTTAACTCCACGCCCTTTTCCAAGACCCTCGCATTTACTTTCTTACAACCCCATCTATAAATAATTAAAAACACGGGGACATAACATCCTTTTTCTAAGCCCCACTTTTACTGGGGAAAAAATTTCCCTTTCCCGCATACTCTAACTTGACCTCACTATCCTGTAAAAACTTTTTTCACTGCTTTCAGTAACCTACCTCCTACACCATCACCCGCAACATCTGCCACATTGCCCCGCTATCCACCCTGTCATACGCCTTTTCCAAATCCATAAATGCCACAAAGACCTCTTTAGCCTTATCTAAATACTGTTCACTTATGTGTTTCACTGTAAACACCTGGTCCACACACCCCCTACCTTTCCTAAAGCCTCCTTGTTCATCTGCTATCCTATTCTCCGTCTTACTCTTAATTCTTTCAATAATAACTCTACCATACACTTTACCAGGTATACTCAACAAACTTCATGCAATCTTTGCTGCTCTCATCCTGACAACTGGTTTAATTGGATGACATTCACTGTCTACTTGGATTTTGGGTGTGTTCTGTTTGTCCTGGACTAGTTCACTTGTCTACTCTGTACTCTGGAAGACCCAGGAAGTTTCCTAGCTCATCTTTGCAATGCATGACACAAGGATGGGAAGTTTTGTTGGTGTCTTGGGAAATGAATGGGCAAATACTGAGGCAAAGATTGTTATTGCAAGCTTGATCTATAGTAAGCCTGATGGACATTATACATAAGTAAATTGTCAGTTAAACTGCACAAGATTGTCTTAACTTGGACATTTTCAGCCCTTTGTGCATAGATCATACCAAATCAGTTGTACAGATAATTCAGGTACATCATGAAGAGTAAAGCTCCCGTAGAAATCTGGCATTTCATGATATTGCAGTCTTGTGGTATTGCTGGGAGGCAAAACCATAGGCAGCAGCAAATATAACATTTTTGAAGATTTGTGGAATATAATCCCGTGTTCTTCTTTCAACAAACTGGCTGCATCCCACTGAGGCAGGGTGGCCCAAAAAGAATAACAAAAGGTTTCTCTTGAAATTTAGTAAAATATACAGAAGGGGTTACTAGCTCTTGGCATTTTAGTCACCTCTTCCGACACACTTGGCTTATGGAGGAAGAATTCTGTTCTACTTCCCTATGAGATAAGCGGAAATAAACGAGCAAGTACTAGGAAGAATATAGAAAACTTGGAGGGGTTTGTATATAAATGCTTATACATGCATGTGTAGTGTGACCTAAATGTAAGTAGATGTAGCAAGACGTACCTGAAACCTTGCATATTTGAGACAGAAAAATGACACCAGCAATCCTACCATCATGTAACAATTACAGGTTTCCGTTTCACGCTCACTTGGCAGGATGGTAGTACATCCTTGGGTTAGATTAGTTAGCAATAAATGATATTTTTAGGAATGTAACATGCAGTAATTGTAGGTCTACTGTGTCCTTGGGAAGTTGTGGCAGGCCCTGCAGACAGAAGCAAGTTTTGCAGGTTTTGGCTGGACAAAGGTGTTTGGCCCTCTAGAAAGAACAGTCACTTAGAGACTGTTGTTGATTGAGGACCAGGTGGCTACATTTTACCCAAAGCCAGCCGTTTGCTGGCTTTGGGTAAAATGTGAAAGTGCATCCGCTATAGCTTGCGGGATGCAGGCTTATTGTTTTTTTTTTATTATAGTTATGGAAGTGCCTGTAGGGATCTCTGGGAACTTATAGGTGGTCTTTCATCAGCATTTTAATGGTATTTTTAGCTGATGCAGGTTCTTTTAATTTGGTGTGATAGTGTTTATTTGAATTGTGTATTTTATTCATACTACTTAGTAGGTTTTTATTTATTTTATCTTTGTTCTTGTGTGCATTTTATGAACTTGTTGCCAAGAGCATTGAACGATATACTCAAAAAGCTTTTAAAATTTCAAAACTACGTTGTGTCTTCTTGCATTTCTTGAATGTTTCTTGTTAAATAAATCATATTTACTTGCTTACATAAAAGATGTTTAAAATTTCTAGGTATTTGGGGAAACCTTTCCAGTTACTTTGAGGGATCAGTGGGGCTTGCCTGTGTGAGGTCTCGCTGTAGTGCTACTCTTTGGTAATAGTAGTTTTTTTATTTGAGCATTCATGTTCACCATTAGGAAGATGGATTAGATGCCACTAATGAATGTTTAGTGTTTCAAAATAAGAGTATTGTTACTATGCAGATGAGATCTTAGAGACACTACTTATGGAAAGTTGAAAATTGATTGTAATATAGCACTGAAAGTAGTAATTCTTGTAATGCTTGTAATAACTAGATTCATTAAATTGTTACTATACTGTAGCTTCTGTATTAGTGATTTGCATTTTTTAAATTTAACAATAATGCACATTAATACTCATCTTTATATTAGGCATTTTATTTCTGCAGTGACTATTTAATGACCATTGTTTTTGTAGTCCCCACAAAGGACTTGCCGCCTCGCTTCAAGAAGATTTTGAGCAATACAAATGCAGGAGGGACTGGTGGATCAGATGGAGAAGTTTCATTGCGCCCTGCAGCCTCAAGCATGATGCTGAAGCCTAAGACACCTGGAGTGTTGCCTCACAGTGCCCTGGGAAATCAGCAGAGCAATGACCACCACCATCACTCAAGTCTCCCAATTGCACCACAGCCCCAACCACCCAACCAAAAACCCACTCCACCACTCATGCATAAAGATCCTCCTATTCTCATTAAACAAGCATCAACTGACAAGTCACGTGCCAACAAGAAGGATAGGGTAAGTGGTGCATCATACATGATACAAGGAAGTTTCAAAATAACTAACATTCTTATGTTAAACATGTTAAATTTATTACCAGATTTTAAAATGACTTGTTTAATTTTTTTTTTTATCAGGGCCCAAGTCGTGAGGAGTGGCTTCGCCGTGTAAAGAATGTGTATGAGGAGCTCATGAAAGAGCAGAATTTGGAAGAGGCAGTTGAAAACTACCGCTCCCTTAAATTACCAGAGCGCCATACTGCTGAGGCTGTGCAAACTGTTGTAAATTTCCTCCTCACCCAAGAAGGTCAGTGGAGCTTCAGTAAGAAATATAGATAGCTAAAGTACTAATGATATTGATTTTTTTTTTCTATAGTACAGTTCTATTTACCTCAAACTATTTTATCATTATTTGTACCTTCCCATGACTAAGAGAAGAGGATGATGGCAAGTACTTTTCACTTGTTGGGTTTTAGGATTTCTGTCGTCCTAAAATTTAAAGAATGGGATTAAGCCGTGGGTCTTATACATGAATTTGTTCTCAGGCTCTAAATATAAAATCTCTGAAATATCCTTTTGCTTTTAAAGCCAATTTCATGTTAGTATTACAGTGTAAGTTGTATTCTTGAAATCATGTATGTTCACTTAAAAATAAAAATAAAAAATTTACTCCAGTTCAGATATTCTGTTGGCATCCAGCTTAAGATATAACGATACCACTTTGCTTTCCTTAGCAGAGAGCAACAGAGAGTTGGGCAGTCAGCTGGTGGAAAGACTACGTATTGATGGCCTTATTAATGTTGACCGTCTATTTGATGGTGTCAGACAGGTAAACCACATCGTCAAATTGTTGCTGATTAGAATATAAACTCAAACTTTAAAAATTCGACAAATGAATAGGTGTAGCCATCAGTTAATAAAAAATTAGTGTACCACATTCTGTAGGCATTGGTGAGAAATTCCATGTAAAATTTTAAAAACTAGAATTAATAGAACATTTTTTGAGTTACTGGAAGTGATCATTGGACAGGTTGGATTAAGTCGCGTAATTTTTCATTTTGGCAGGTTCTAGGTCGACTGGATGATCTGGTTACAGACATCCCTCGAGTTAAATCCCACATGGCAGGGATTTTAGGTTATTTGGTAGGGTCAGGGACTCTGTCATTAGCTGATGTGGCTGAACCTTTGGAGGGAGGACAGCACTTCCCACTTTTCCTGCTCACTCTCCAAACTTTGCACAAACTTCAGGGAAAATCTGCTCTTACTCAGACCTTCAATGATAGCAAGGTAAATTGTTTTAAACTTTAACTATTGTAATGTTTTTCCTGTAAAAAAGGAATTAAAATCATAATTGATAAGTGTAACACAGTGTATAAAAGTCTGTGCATACAAATATATTGCTAATAATCGTAAAAAAATTATACATGTAAATTGCAGCAATGAATTTATATTGATCATGCTTCAACAGTTACTGAGTCATGTAATAGTTTCAGTAAATAAAAATGTAGGTAAATCCAGATAAAAAATAATACATGAAGTTACTGTAGAGGTAATTATTCTAAAAGATTTAATTGTACTTGCTAGGTGAACCTTCTCAACTTGCTTCCTGAATCTGATCGCACCAAGGAAAAGTTAGCGGACCTTCTTGAAGACCGTAATCTTTCCTTCCTCTTCCCACTTCTGCGAATCCAGTCTGATTTATGGCGAGCCCTTATTGCCGACCCTTCACCACATGCGTTTTACAAGTACATCAAAGATACACTGGATGTAGAACACCACACAGCTCCAGGATTTATAAATGCATTAATGACTGTCTTGGTCAAGTACATAACACAGGTAAGGGAAATTTTATTTTGAAATAAAATTTTTTTTTTAACTCTTTCTCTTTCTTTCTTTCTCTCTTTCTCTCTTTCCCTCTGTTTTTTTTTTTTTTTTTTTTTTTTTTTACACAGGGTTTGACAATGTTAAGGATCCCTTGCTTTATTGACAAGCTATTTACAGGTTAAGGATTCCTAACTTTATTGGCAAGCTAAGAGCTATTACCTACATCAGCTCATTTGAAAGCATTTTTATTGTTATGAGACATACAAGTAGGGAACAGGATGAAGTTGGAGCCATCTGTGGGCCAGCATTTTCATTTGATCAACTGACTTTATCTCGTTGACATCAGTATGCTGTACGAATGTGTTCGATACTCGAGTCATCCTGGGTATATGGGATCTCAGATGGAGTGAAGTTCTGGAGAAGGGTACAGCCAGAGTGAAGTTGCTGCTTTCTGCCCGTCTTGTGGCATAAAAGCTTGTTTCACGCTGTCCTCGAAGTGGATCCAAGTGTGGTACTTTGACAATATTGGCCTTGTACATAACAGTAATGCCACCCACATCCCTCCTATGTTGAAGGCTCTGCTGAAATGACAAATCTATCCAGGATGGGTCCAGGCGAGAGATGAGACGTCTTGCTCTGTTCTCTACTGTCAAGCAGTCGCAGATGAGAGGGGGGGGGGGGGCAGGCAAACCAAGAAAGTGGAGCATACTCAAGGTGCGAGCGTACTTGTGCCTCGTACAGAATCTTGCAACCCCTACTGTCAAGTAGATGCGAGATACGGCGAAGTGCTGTAAGCTTCCTGGCTGCCTTGTTTGCAAGATTTACAACATTATTCTTCATGGTTAGTTTGGAGTCAAATTTCACCCCAAGGATATCAACTTCTTCTCCAGGTGCCAACGCCCTCCCATTCATCCTTACTACTGCACCAGCATTACCATCATGGTGCCTAGAGACGATCATCATTTGCGTTTTCTCAGGTGCAAATGTTACTTGCCATCTATTTCCCCAAGCTGATATAGCTCTCAGCTGGTGATTGATGTAGCTTAGAGCAGCTGGCATTTCTTCTTTTGGATAAGTGAATGTCAGTGTACAGTCATTTGCATATGCATGGGATTCTGGGATGAGATGAAGGAAGTCATTGAAGTAGACATTCCATAACAATGGTCCCAGCATGCTTCCTTGTGGAACACTAGCCCCAATAGGATGTCTTGCTGATTCCGTTCCATTGAGAACTACCCTTAGAGATCTACCATAGAGGTAATCACTGAGGAGACATAGCGTAGAGCCTGCAATTCCCAGTGCTTAAAGTTTTGCTAATAGGGCCTGGTGCCACACCTGGACGAAGCACCAGCAATGTCCAGTGCTACCACACAGCTGACTTTGGATTCATCCAGTGACTGGTGCCACTTAGTGGAGAGGTTTAACAGATCAGCAGCAGAGTAACCTTTCCTGAAGCCATATTGACAGTCACAAAGTAGTGAGTGGTAGTCAAAAAACTGTCATTTGTCTTGAGATTGTCTCAAGGATCTTACCAGTGATTGACAGGAGTGACACTGGTCTGTAGTTGCTGATTTCTGCTCTGCTCTTCTTTTTTGTGAACAGGGACTACAATTGCCTCTTTCCACAGAGAGGGCCATTTACACTGTACTAGGCAGTGCTGAAAGATGCGAGTTAGAGGTGCTGCTAGCTGGTCTGCACATCTTCTCAGCAATCTTGGGCTCAACTTGTCTGGGCCCACAGCCTTTTCTTGGTCAAGTGATTTAAGAAGGAAATGCACCTCCTCCTGCCTTATTGTCACCCCTGACAGTTTTGACACAGTTATTGCAGCTAGTCAAGGAGGGTCCCTTGCTAGATCAGGAACTTGCATTTTGGTAGCAAAGTGTTTGACAAAGAGGTCTGCCTTCTCTTGATTACTAGTAGAGGTGGTCCCATCCTGTTGATTTAGAGGTGGAATGAGTTCATCAGGCAGATAACCCTGTCTGTCCTTGATCAGGGACCACCAGGTTTTGGAGCCTATCCTACCTGATGCTAGCTTTCTTTTTGTGTCCACCTCCCATTTAGCAATGGCCCACTTTTGAACGTCACCCATATGCCTACAGGTTTGCCTGTGCAAGTTCCTGTTATAGGTGGTAGGATGTCTCTTATACGTTCGCCATGCTTTGTGCTTAGCAGTAGCAGCCTCTCTGCAACGAAAGCCAAACCAAGGCTGATCTATAGGCTTCATCACATACTGCCGGTGAGGAATGTGTTCTTGTTGTAGATTAAGGATGTGTCCAGTGAAGGCTTTCACTTGGTTGTCAACATCCCCTTGGAGAAGAGCATTCCAATTGGTGGTGGCGAGCTCAGAGCAAAGAGCTGGCCAGTTACCTCTTTTCCATAGCCAGGTTGTGCGTGTGGACTCCTCACCTCGTTCTGTTGGGATCTTAAGTGTTGTAAAAACGGGCTTGTGGTCAGATGATCCAACGTAGCCGAGGTTTGACAAGTGACTATACCTTCTACCAGACCACTCACTACTGGGTCAAGGGAGGAGCCAGAGATGTGAGTAGGGAAATTAACAGTGTTTCTCATGTCAAATACTGCAAGAAGGTCATTGAAGTCCCTTTGTACAAGGTGTTGGTTGAGGTCTCCAACAATTATGATGTTGACAGTTGTGTTGTAGCAGAAGGGAGTCCATATTTTCCATTAGGAAGTTGATGGGGTCTGCATGTTGCCACTGAGGTCTGTACATTGCACATGCTAGTACAGAGGTACTAGTGTTTATGCAGAGCTTAAAGAACATCATTTCAAGATGAGTAGGGGTGGCAACATCAATGTGCTGGGCATGAATACTTTTAGAGAAGCACACAGCAACACCACCTTCTTTCCCTTGCCTGTCTCTTCTCATCCATGAGGTGTAGCCAGCAATTCTTGCAAAATTTTCTGGAGTCCTGTCATCCAAAAATGTTTCAACAACAGCTATCATGTCGGGACGTCAAGTGTTCACAAAACTGTGTGTGAGCTCTCCAACATTAGTAATGAAACCTCTAAGGTTGGCCGACAGGATGCTGATAGACTGGCTCCTCATGATGATGTGGTCAGCTTGAGGTGGTGGGTGTGTAGGGCATGTAAGGTGCCTCTGCCTCTGTCTCTATCTATCTATCTATCTATCTATCTCTCTCTCTCTCTCTCTCTCTCTGCCTCTGTCTCTCTCTCTGCCTCTGTCTCTCTCTCTGCCTCTGTCTCTCTGCCTCTGTCTCTCTCTCTGCATCTGTCTCTCTCTCTGCCTCTGTCTCTCTCTCTGCCTCTGTCTCTCTCTCTGCCTCTGTCTCTCTCTCTGCCTCTGTCTCTCTCTCTGCCTCTGTCTCTCTCTCTGCCTCTGTCTCTCTCTCTGCCTCTGTCTCTCTCTCTGCCTCTGTCTCTCTCTCTGCCTCTGTCTCTCTCTCTGCCTCTGTCTCTCTCGCTGCCTCTGTCTCTCTCGCTGCCCTCTCTCTCTCTCTCTCTCTCTCCTCTCTCTCTTCTCTCTTCTCTCTCTCTCTCTCTCTCTCTCTCTCTGCCTCCTCTCTCTCTCTGCTCTCTCTTCTCTCTCTCTCTCTCTCTCTCTCTCTCTCTCTCTCTCTTCTTCTCTTCTCTCTCCTCTCTCTCTCTGCCTCTGCCTCTCTCTCTCTCTCTCTCCTCTCTCTCTGCCTCTGTCTCTCTCTCTCTTCTCTGCCTCTGTCTCTCTCTCTCCTCTGCCCTCTTGTCTCCTCTCTCTCTGCCTCTCTTCTGTCTCTCTTCTGCCTCTGTCTCTCTCTCTGCCTCTCTGTCTCTCTCCTCTCCTGTCCTCTCTCTCTGCCTCTCTGTCTCCTCTCTCTGCTTCTCTCTCTGCCTCTGTTCTCTCTCTCTCTCGCTCTCTCTCTCTCTCCTCTCTCCTCCTCTCTCTGCCTCTCTCTCCCCTCTGCTCTGCTTCTCTCTCTGCTCTCTCTCTCTCTCTCTTGCCTCTCTCTCTCTCTCTCTGTCTCTCTCTCTCTCTCTGCCTCTCTCTCTCTCTCTGCCTCTCTCTCTCTCTCTCTCTGCTCTCTCTCCTCTCTGTCTCTCTCTGTCTCTCTTCTGCCCTCTTTCTCTCTCTCTCTCTCTCTCTCTCTCTCTCTCTCTGCTCTCTCTCCTTCTCTTCTCTCTCTCTCTGTCTCTCTCTCTCTTGCTCTGTCTCTCTTCTCTGCCTCTCTCTCTTCTTCTCTCTCTCTCTCTCTCTTGCTTCTTCTCTCTCTCCTCTCTGCTCTGTCTTCTCTCTCTCTCTGGCCTCTCATCTCTTCTCTCTCTGCCTCTCTCCTCTCTCTCTCTCTCCTCTCTCTCTCTCTCTCTCTGCCTCCTCTCTCCTCTCTGCCTCCCTCTCTCTCTCTCTCTCTCTCTGCTCTCTCTCTCTTCTCTGCTCCCCTCTCTCTCTCTCTCTCTCTGCCTCCTCTCTCTCTCTCTCTCTCCTCCTCTCTCTCTCTTCTCTGCCTCTCTCTCTCTCTGCCTCTCTCTCTCTCTCTCTCTCTCTGCTCTCTCTCTCCTCTGCTCTCTCTCTCTCTCTGCTCTGTCTCTCTCCTCTGCCTCTCTCTCTCTCTCTCTGCCTCTCTCTCTCTCTCTCTCTCTCTCTCTCCTCTCTCCTCTCTCTCTGCCTCCCTCTCTCTCTCTCTCTCCTCTCTCTCTCTCTCTCTCTCTCTCTCTCTCTCTCTCTCGCTCTCTCTCTCTCTCTCTCTCTGCCTTCCCCTCTCTCTGCTCTCCTCTCTCTTCTCCTCTCTCCTTCTCTCTCTTCTCTCTCTCTCTCTCTCTTCTCCTCTCTCTCTCTCTGCCTCTCTCTCTCTCTCTGCTCCTCTCTCTCTCTTCTCTCTCTTCTTCCCTCTCCTCTCTCTCTCTCTCTCTGCCTCCCTCTCTTCTCTCTTCTGCCTCCTCTCTTCTCTCTCTCTCTCTTCTCTCTCTCCTCTCGTCTCTCTCTCTCTCTCTCTCTCTCTCTCTCTCTCTCTCTCTTCTTCTGCCTCCCTCTCATCTCTCTCTTCTCTCTGCCTCCTCTCTCT